AAACAGAAAAAGGTGGGCAACAAAAACATAAAATTGGAGGATTGGACATGTATGCAATGGAATAATCAATTTGTTCTCTCAACTGAAGGACTTAGCATGAAAGGCCTTTGCCCAGGCAAAGACTGGAAGAGGACACAGGTGTTTCTGTGCTGGACTTGCAACATGAAAGTGCTCCAAGAAATAGGCAGTTGTGATTATTTTTGTTGGACTTACTTTCAGTTTTTTTAAACTTGTTCACACAAACACTCTTAATTCTAAGATTTCAGACCCTATGGTGCCAGTGATTTCTTAATGTTTTTTGTTTGCTTACTGATGGCAATAATTAGTATGGTAGAGGGGATAGAGGGTGGAATGGGCATCTCAAAGGGCTTGCCAGGGGTCAGGTCAAAGTATGTGTGATATAGATGCTCATGGCATGGAATGTTGTTCAGGCAGAGCACAGAGGCTGCATGGAGGCATTGGTTCTGCATTTCCTTGGCCCAGAACAAGCTATGCAGCTGCAGGCTTATCTCACACTAAAAGGTGAAGTCCCACTACTGCATCCTGTCTGTAGTAGCCAAGGGACCAAGAGAGAAATTCAGTTTAACAAAGTATTGACTAAAATCATGATGTACATTTTTTTCTTGTAACTTGCAAATGTACTTTGTGCGAAGTGGTTGTAGAACACTGATGCTCTTTCAGTCACTGTTTCAAGTAAATGCCATGGTGATCTATGCATTTACTGTATCTGTTGAACAGCACTTTATTACTCAAAGCCCTTTTTCTCTTGCCTGTTGTGTTAAATAACGCAGAGAGTAAAAGTGAACAATAGCTCAATTTGTTGGCTTGGCTTGATGTTTCTGTGCCTGTGAATGCAATGTTTGCTGAGCTGCAATTTAAATGCAGATTCTGCAATGTGTGAGCTGTAATTCCCACCTGCAGTGAAGGCCACCATCAGCCAGAGACATCTGGAAATTGAATAATGTTGGACCACCAAAAGTGCAAAATGCACATTGTGTTGCTAAAAAGGTTCAGATTTAGCATTTGTAGGTGTGGTAAAGAAGGATGTTTCCATCAGTTTTGTGTCATCTAGCTTTCACCCTGGACTATAGATAAAGAAATTGAGATAGGTAACTTTTTCCAACCCAAAGCACTACATTCAACAAATAAAATCATTGGAAAAATCTCTTTTTGGTGCAGCAGTCCAGTCTGAGAGCTGTAACAATTGCAAACCTGTTACAATTTAATTACCATCTGAGTGCTCATATAGAATTAAGTTTACAGTCAAGAGTCAATTCCTAGCAAGAAAGCCATAGCAATAGCTTTTGTTAAGCCTATGTTGCTTGCCTCAGCCATACGTTTGTTGCTGAATGAGTCAAAGACACTCAGCTGTTCTCCTAGACTCCAAAGAGGTCCATTCAGGTGAGATCAGAAAAAGCTGTGTCTGTTATGGTAGTTCAGAGTCTTCACAAGACCATTTTGTATTTTCACAGGTACCAAATTCACTCTGATTATGTGAAACCAGGATAAACAAGCTAAGAAAGGAACTTTCCTTGTAAGATCATGATCCCAGCAGTATCAGTGGGCTTTGGACTGGGACTTTGAGAGAGCATGCAAACAGGCAACTGCAGAGCAAAATCACATGATGCTAAGGAGGAGATGCTTGGCTCTGCAGTGGCAGAGGGGATACTGGTTGCTTGCCTTCCATGTTACAGTATTCTGGCTAAGGGCTACCAAGGTGAGACTCACAAAAGGCCACTGTAGATGCTTTATAAGGTTGTCTTCCATATGAAAATAGAAGGGAATAAGGAGAAAAAATACTGTGAACTAGCCTGGACAGAAATCAGTGGATTTAACCATGGCATCTGTTAGATTTCAGTGAAAGATGAAAGCACTTAATTTTGGATGACTTCTGTTGTTATGGTAGTGATTTTGCTGATGAATATATCCATTTCTGAGTCAAAGCTTGTTCACTTTTAAGATTGGTCTGAAGCCAAACCTGGAGTCTTAAGCAACTTCAGACTTGGAAGCATCTTGGACGATATGTGTATTCTAGCTGAACCTTTTATGAAACCTCAAACAACCACAGAAAGCTAGGACTTCAATTCTGGGGCTCGTGCTTTATTAATTTGTTGGGGATTTATTTGCTTCTGTTCTTTTGTTCTCTTTGTTCATCTGTGATTTCACCTCCTCCTGCTCACGCTTCACTGTTAGCTCATTGCTTCTGATCTCATCTCTCTGTTTCCTTTGGTCAAGAGTTCAGAGCTTCAAACTCAGATTAAAAGAATTATATCAACATTATCAGTTGGACCAGATTCAACTGACAAATCATCTTCTTTTCAAGGATAGTATTTGATACACTGTACTAGCTTTTTACTTTGCAAAGTTACTGAGAATTTTCTCCAAATTCCTGAAATTTTGCTAGTATTAAATTATACTACTCATTGTGTCTCCTGAGATACCGAAGCATGTTTTTCTTGTAAGGAATTACATAACTCTTCAGATGGTAGCATGTCTCACTTGCACTGCTTTCTCTTCAATCGTTCTCATTCTCAGTTTTCTCACAAAAAGCACCATCCCTGTTCTGTGCCTGCCTTCTTCTCTATTCTCCACAACTTGGGCTGATCTATTTAGGACCAGGTTCTGTAGTTTAGCGGCTTGTCTGGCTCAAACAAGGCCTGGAGAATTTGATTTTGCATATAAACTAAAGCTCACATCACACAAAAATGTCATTGTGTCTTTCTGTTTAATGCAATGAGACTTACCCCATGGACATGGCTTTTATGTGAAGCTCAGGCTTGCAAACTTGCTGTGTAACAGAGCAATAGGGCAAAGCTGTCTTTGGAGTCAGGGGAATGACGGCTATCATAAAGCTGATATACACGCAGGAAATTTAAAATCCATTCCTACAGCAAAGCTTTTCTTTATTCTTTTGGAGCAATTTAAAGCTAATGTAAGGCAGAGTGTGTCCTGCTCTCTCCGATGAAGTCAGTTTTGTATCTGAGAAAATAAGAGCAGGTTATACACTGCTTGTCCATCCTCTTGTATCTTGGAAGACTCTCTGATTGATTCTCTCTAACTCAGACCCAGTTTTTCCAATCTTCCTTGAAGATATGCGCCAGCTAAGCTAAGATCCTGAAAAGTATTTAGATGTCTGACTCTTGCTTAAGACTCACCTCTTTTGAAATGTGGGCTGAAATCTGCAAGCGGTCCCATTGATTTCTGTATATAAGACTGAAATCAATGCTGTTCAATTATGCAGCTCAGAAAGGCTGAGCCAAGCCTGCTGGCTCTGACCAACAGACACTTGTGCTTGTCTTTAACTTCAAGCACGTGTGCAGCCATACTGCCTTTTCTAAACTTCTCAGGGTACAGATCCAGATTACTCTGAAGAGCATCAGCTGCACATGTACCAGTACCCTGAAATAATGAGGAACAAGGCAGCAGTCCATTACAAAGCTACCCTGTCTTGAAAAGTAAGTCTCGGCACAAGCAGTGTTTTACCACTGGTAAAGTATTGTCAGCAGAAGTCCTGTGGCCTGTGGTTCACGCCAACAGCTCTGGAACTGAGTGCCACTACTGGTAATGTTATGCTCTGCCTGTAAACAGTACAGCAGTCTTAAGATGCAGGCCAGTACAGTAACATGTTGCTGATGTGATAAACATGAGTTTGAAATAAAGCTTAAAAACAGAAAATGATTTGGTGGCTGTGTGTCAGGGGTCAAGTCTAGTCAAGTTCTCCTAAGTGCCAGCTGGACTTCTTCCAGTGGTTCTTCCTCTGCAGTCTGATTTCCCTTCAGCTGTGTTGGCATCTCTCTGCTTTGGTGCTGCCATGACTGGCAGGCTTATCTTGCATTACAAAATCCCAAACACTGGACTGGAAGAGGTTGAAAGATCTCTCTTGATTTTACAGGAAATGTGCCATGTTTCAGTAGGGTTACAGGTTTGCTGTTTCCTTTTTTAACCTGTGCTGTGTTGCTAAGTCTGGTATATTTTATCATTAGTATCATGGCATTTGATGTCCTGCAAAACTCGTGATTAAACACGAATCTCAGCCATCACTTAAAAAGCACATTTCTAGGCTCAGTGTTGTTGGGAAGTAGCTGGAAAAGACTCTGTTTGAAGTACTTAAAAATACTAAAAGTAAAAAATGTTGAAAAATAATGGAAACGCTTATGTACTCTGAAAACTGAGGAATTTGAGGTTTGCTGCATTTTGCTTTGTGAGTGCAAAGATTACCCTGCTTTAGTTTGCCTAAAAAAATCACTGGCAATGCTGATGGTGTGCTGTCTGCAACTCTGGAAGCATGACTGGGCAGTGCTTAGCCATTACAAAAGAGGGCTTTTCTCTTAGGTTTCTGAACTAAATAAATACAAACTTTTGTTATTTATGAAATGCACAGAAGACTTTGATGATGTTTTATTTATTAAATTATTTATTCATTAAAAAAAAAAAAAAGGGTTAATTGAAAGTGTTAGGCCTGTATGTGGCTTTGGTAATGCAGTATCTGCATAGGTTCTCAGATTGGTGTGACTCTTTAGGACTGAGATAGAGTGCCTCTGTGCTGCACAACACATCAAGCTGAGGAAGTGCTTTGGGCTTTCTATGCCACCTACCAGCTCCCAGGTGAGTTTGGTCTGAGTAGTCATGTTTCTGAGGCAGTGGCCTCTGATTTGTTTTAGCAAGAGTGGAATATGGTTCCAGTCCAGTAAAGGTGCCCTAAGGAGGTTGAAAGGCTCCTTTTCCTAGAATAGTTTTAGGAATGTCAAAGCAGACAGAACCTTGAGAACTTTTGCAGGGCAGGCACATCATTGCCTTATGCTGAGGATTTCAGGCTAGAACCTTATTAGCTCTGGAGTGATACCTTCCTACACACAAAGATTACCTAAGCATTAGAGGTGGATGCTACAACAAAGACAATAACTAAGTTTACTTCCCAGCTTTTGCTAACTGGCTGTCCTAGGACTTTACAGGAGGCACACTGTCTTGTCTCTGTTCTGCTTTTTGTTTTATGATGTGTGTTTTTTTTTTTTTGTCCACATCCCATTCCTGCCTTCACTTGAGATACATTTTGTTTCCCACCCACAGTTTTCCGCATCTGAGAATTGCTTAACTTTCTGAAGAGGAGTCCTGTGAAATGTATCCCACATAGATGCACTGCTAGGGTGGAGCTGGGAATAGAGCATGGGTGTAAGGAAGTGACTGGGACAGATGAGGGAGAAAGGTGGCAAATGGGACAACAACATGACACTACAGTTTCAGTGGACAAGGGACCAGAGCTGCTTATTCTGTAGCACTATGAATCTGGGACCCCCAGTGCCCTGAGTTGAAGGACCATGACTATGGTAACAGTAAACTCCCAGCCAACCCCAAACTTGTGTTTGGGAAGCTGATCTGCTGTTCCAGCTAGATGCATACAAGTCAATGGAGCCCAATGAGATTCATCCCACAGTAGAGCTGGCTGATGACATTCTGAGACCTCTCAATAATTTTTCAATGGTTGTGGGAATCTGTAAAGGTCCCTATCAACTGGAAGCTGGCAAACGTTCCAGAGGGGCAAGAAAAAAGAGTGGTAACTACTGGCCTGCCAGTCTCACTTTGGTGCCTGGCAATTTTCTGGGGAAGATTATCCTGGGAGTTTTTGAAAAACAGCTGAAAAACAATGCAGACATTGGTCACAAGGGGAAAGTCCTCTTTAATGAACTTAATCTCTTTTTATGACAAGGTTGCCCACCTAGTTGACCAAAGGATGCCAGTGGGTGTGATCTTTTTTGATTGAAAGCAGAGCTTTCAGTACTGTTTCTCACAGTATCATATTATCTTTCTGTACAAAATATCCAACGAAAACTAGAGAAAAACAAAATACAAGGAACATTTGGACAATGTTCTCATACTTTGGGTTTGGATTTGAGGTGGTGATGTGGAGCCAGGAGTTATACTTGATGATCCTTGTGGGGTCCCTTCCAACTCGGGATATTCTGTGATTCTGTGATTCTAAGCTGATCTTACACTGTCCCCTCAGAGAACTCCATGAGCCCATGGTGTGCACGCAGTATGGAGAGCAGCCTAAGTAAAGACTGTGGCAGGAGAAGGATGTACTACATACTGCCATCTCTAGGGCAGGTGTTCCCACAAATGTGCCTAAATATAGTGCCTGTCCTTTTCCATCAGCTTCCTAACATGAGTGCCTTCTCCTCTTGTGTTCACCTCTTTGGAGCTCTCATGACTTCCTTTGCCTGTCTACCAGTGTCAGCTAACAATCTTCTTCAGCTTCTCTCGTCCTCTTAATTTCTCTTTTATTTTGCTACTTGCTTTCTCAGCAACTGGCTTTCATAGAAACTCCCTGGTTACCATCATGATCTCTGAGAATGACAGTTTCTTTGTGTGCAAATCAGTAAATTGTTGTAGAAAAAGTATAATTGAAAGAAAAACGAGGCTATAGCAATGCCAAATCTATTATTCATTTATTGGACAAGTGTAGTTTTAATGCTCACATTTGAGAGTATGCTAGTAAATACGTTAAAAGTGCCTGGAGCATGGAAACTCTCTGTCTGACACCACTGTTTCTTATGAAGCTTATAATCTTAAGTTGGTAGCTGACATCATCATGGCTCTTGAGCCAGTGCTGCTGAAACTGCTAAGTTTGTCACTGAATTAATGAGGCAAGAAAGTGAACCCTAAATCATGTTCCTAAGCAAAAATCCTACCTTGGATCTTCCTGGAAGAGATAACAGTCTTTCTTGTTGGAATACCACTGCGCAACTGGTGTGCAGCTTTGAAACATGGTCAGCTCATTCTTTGCATGAAATGATATATGTAAGTCAGAGGAACTGAGGTCATCCAGATCATTAACTTTATTTGTCTATTCTAAGCCAAGAATATATTACCAAAGGTGGTACAGGCGCCCACAGTGGAAACTTAGTCCATACGTAAAGTAGACTTCTGACAAATACAGTATGCATATTTTTTGTGAGAGTGGCTTGGCCTGACCTATTCCTGGGTTTACTCATAAAAGATCTCCCAATTAGTTATGTCACTGACAATTTTTAGGACAATATAAATTAGTCTCAGTAAAGCTAGGTTAGGCTTTTGTTTTTATTGATGGATCGGCGCTTATTTTAACCAGCTAGTGACATCTTCCAGTTTTTAATACCTGGAATTTCACCACAGTAAGAAGACATCTGTAGCAATGAAGTTTTGCTGGAGGCTGTAACCCCAAATGAATTTTGTCGAAGACCTGCTGGTACTGCTTTCTGCACACTTTTAGCTACTAAATACTGAGAAGCTAGTAGAGATCACTGGGTTGGTTCCAAGTGGGAAGTAGAAGACAGGAAAGATTACTGCTTTCTGGAAAGTTTATAGTATGTTTCCACTTCATTTGGAGTGACTCTGCTGGAAAGCAATTCATATAAAGTTGCTATGTGAAAAAAGTTTTATTGTGTTGAGAATGGCTATATATGGATACATATAAAAAAGGAAATTAACATAGATCTGTGTACTATTAACATGTGTGTTTCCTAAGCAGTATTAGTTGGGGGATACAACTGTCAGTGCAGCTCAAAGGAATCCTCCAAAACTTCTGCTGCAAGCATGTGGGCTGGCAATTTATTGATTAGCTCCAGAGGGAAGAATTGTATTATGACTCTTTCTACATTTTTTTTGTGAGCCTAATTGCCTTTCACCCATAATCCCTGACTCTCATTACACCTTGTCCATCCTCAAGCTTTCCAATTTGGATATACTCAATATTTTTAAACATTTTGAAATGGGCAGTCATATTCTGTCATCCTGCAGACAATGAATTTCCACTGACGATCCCTGCATGAGAGAAGAGACAACAGATGTGAGATGGCAGTGGCAACTGCAGAGTATAACACTGTATGAGTAAGAACAACTTTACACAAGATATTGTGGCAACAAAAACATTTATCTACCATTAGCTGTCTTTCTTCTGAGTGCTTCGTGTTTTTATAGAGTAGAAGAAGATTGAATATGACTGCTAGTTACAACTCTTTCCCACTCCTCTACAGAATAAGAAAATCAGCTCTCTGAATATTCATAGAGTTATTAAGGTTTGAAAAACCACTGAGATCATCTCGTCCAATCAGGTCTCTGAATATCCTTCAGAAGACAATGATTATTGATAATGATCAGTCCTACATTAACTTTAAATCAGTGTTCAAGTGGAAAAGGATGGTTCTGTCAGAAGTTATTGAAGTATGATCCATTGCTCCAGGAGCTGAATGAAGTAAAACATGTGAGTGAGTTTCAAGCCATTTCTAAGAGCAAAGTTGTACACTCTGTATTTCTCTCTTTCTCTTTTTCTCCTCTCTTTCTCTCTTTCATGTCTTCTGGCCAGTGATCTATGTGAAAGATAGGAAGGAGTCAGTAGCAAGAGAAATTAAACTTTCTTCTCATTCTTGATCTCCACAAGTCACACGTGAGACAGAACACATCTACAAGTGTAAAACAAGCTTTTACTGGTTTGTGAGTAATTTAATGTCTGTTTTCTCTCAGTGGAGTGATAGAATATCTACCAACAATTGTTAGAAGCATGGCTGGCACAGGAGGATTCATCAATGGAGGCGAGTGAATTAGTACCCAATAACAGGCTGCAAATTTCCACCTTAGCATCTTGCTCATTATAGTTCTCTTGACAAAAAGGCATGAGTTCGGAGGATCAAATACTAACCTGCTGTGGAGCACACACAGTGCAAATGATCAATTTAGCCTGCTTCATATGGGCTTATAGGGGCATTTTGATCTAAAGCACAGTCCTTAAAAATAGCAACAGTCTTTTAAACTGGTAATGGGTTTTGCACCAAAAGGTTTCTGAATGTTTGGGTTCTGCTAGTGGTGGTCTAGTAAACCTGACACATGGAATGGGCAGTGCTGCCAGAGGGCTTCAACAGGAGCTTTCTTTACAAGAGCCCTGCACAGTCCCAGCTTTCTGGTGGCCAGCTCGGAGTGGTGAGGAGACTGGTGAAGAACCTGTTGCTACTCAGTGACCTGCAGAGACACAAGGCCAGATGTTATAAGGGCTGCTGTTCAGTGGTTCCATTGCCTGGGTGTGTCCTGCAATAGGATTCATTTGACTCTTCAGCTCTATGTGGACATAAAGTCTCTCATTTCAGCTTTCACTTGCTCAGCTTTTTTTAATTGAAAATTTTACTAAGCTGATTCAGAGATTAATGCTGAGTGCCATTTGGAACTTGGTTTGTCTCATACCCATCATCAAGTCTGTATTTACTTGTATAGTGCTTTTTTGTTTGTTTGTTTGAAGGCCTTTCCTAGATAGATTTCCGTCTTTTTTTTTTTTTATAAGACTGTTATCAAAGGTTACTGAAATGCAAAATAAATGTTTAGGTTCATTTTAGGAAGTTTTCATTTGGATTGTTTGCATGCTCTTCAAAAACACAACTCTTTTGGTCACTGAGTTACCCAGAGAGACAAAAACAGAAAAGATGACCCATGGATCAATAGGATTTTATGGATCATAATGATGGTCTGCTAAAGTAGCTCCTATTGTCAGAGAGACTTTTAGCTCAAAAGCAGAGGTACAGTCATTTTTTCTTTAAAAAAAAAAAATATATATATATATATATATGTATTACACACACACATATATATATATTTTTATATCTAAAAATACCTGCTGTTTGAAGTGATGAGGAACTAAAATATCTTCAAAGGCTTTTTTTTTGTGCTTCTTGTTATCTCAAGAACATTGCCTGTCAGAGGCTGAATAGCACGAGCACAACTTTAATGTGCCCGAAGATAAAAAGCAATCTCAAAATTTAGTGTGCTTACACTGACAAGCTGTACGTCTGCTTCTCACAGGCTGGGACTGGGAGCAGCTTTCTTTTGTTGTTCCCATTCTGCCTTACTTAGTTGTAAATAATTATGGGACGACAAACTTTGCTGAGCTTTGAGAGAGTCACCCATGAGAGCCACTAGGTGAATATGTACTGCTAATATAGCAGGACTAGGCAGAACAAGTTGGTTTTAGGCATTCTGAGAGCTCTGACAGCACCTTAGCTCAAAAAAAAACCTTCCTAGATTGCATTTGTAAAATGTGTTTTTTACAGTTTTCACTTGCTACTCTTGTAGGTTCTTCTCTACTGTCACCACAGTGGCAGAACAGAGGTGCTGGTGGCTTTTCCCTCTTTCAGGTCCTGTACTCCCACAACTTGTGGAGACCTGTCTCCTCCTGACATCCCTGTGGTGCTGCTTCTGCTCTTGGTCAGTCCCATACTGCCAGCCCACAGAGTAGAGCCTTCAAAAGTCATAGGCAGAAATCCTCTCAGAGGCATAGGTTCCCTCAGCTGTTCTTTTCCAACTTTGTCTTTATGATTCCTGATGTTGCCCTCGTCCCCAGTTGAGGGTGGCTGGAATCCAGTTACTGGAGAGCACACTGTGTTATCTGTCCTGCTCTCTACAAGGGCATTGGAAAACCAGGATTAAGAATAGCACTGGGAAATATTTATGAGGAAAAAAACAACCCAAAAGAAAAAGAAAAAACAGAGTAGAGGTGTCCCTTGCAGTCTTATAACTCTTTTATCTAAAAAGATGCAGATACAAAAGCATCTTGGCTCCTCTGGGTGTTATTAGTGACAGCCTGAAATGTAGGTGTGTTTGAATTCCCATTTTTCTCTCTCTCTCTGCTCCTTTAGCTAAACTTGGCAACAATGGGCCAGGGCAGTGTGCCTTGTCTTGTGTCTGTGTTGTGTAGGATAGCAAATACTTTAATATTCTGGACTTAAGTAAGAGGACTGGACTGATTAAAAACCAACAGCAGAGAAATAGCTCAAAGAACTGATGAATTAAAGATCAGCTTGAGATGGAGGAATCAAGAGCTGTCTTTCACAGTCAGATTTCTGTGACTGCTTAAACTCACTAAACTCAGACAGCACTGTTGAGTTTATGTTTGGTCCAAATTCTAAAACTTTGTAATTGTGCATAGTAGAGAGACAAAGAGGTATCTTTTTAACTGAGCAGAGCAATTGTGCCCATTTGCACAACTGTAGCATCACAAGCCTTGCTCAAGAGGAATAGTACACTTAGTAACGGCCAGATCTGATCAAGGAAAATTAGTAAACTCATTTTCTGGAAGGGAATTCACGTGCATCACATGGACAATAATTCCTGGTGTGGGCTCATATCTGTTGGAAACATGTTGCAATGGATAGCGCAAGTTACAGCATTTGCATTGCAGTTTATTTGATCTTCTCTTTGCATGGTGGCAGATTCTCTGCTTCTCTTCAAACAAAGGTGGGCCAAAATGAGTCCCTCATCCACTGTAAGGCCAGGCTTTTCCATTCTGAGGATTTAGTGGGTTAAAATAGATACTGGCTTGAAATAGGTAACTAACAATTTTGAAGATGTGTTGCACTTTGCAGAGCTCAGATGTAACCATTACCATATTTTTCACTACTCAAATGGACAAGACAGATGATCCCTTGTGCATGAAGGTCCTCTTCTCCTGATACACAGCCCTGGACTGTTAGCCACATGCACTGTGGACTCTGGTCCTCAAAAGTAGCAGCCTAATGCTGAATGTCACAGAAGATGATGTGTAGCCATGCACTGTCTAGGGAAAGTAGGAAAGGAAGATCTCTCACTTTCTTCTTTTTTTTCCCCTAGCGAAATAGATGAAAAACAAACCTGTCCACAGCCGAGAAAGTTGTTGTTGCCCCACGGATATAGTAGTCGTAAGTGTACATCATCATGTCCATATCTTCTCCATAGTGCCCTGGGTATTCTGTTGTTAACCTTTATGTGAAGGAAAAAGAGGATAAAACAATTCACCATCTTACAGAAAAGTTCAGCTGACTGAATGCAACTCAAGTTTTTTTGAACGTTTTTGTTTCTTTATAGCACTACAAGATGCAGTTTTACTTGTAAGGCTGCTTTTCTCTTCTACACAGTTAATTCTTGTAGCTTTCTGAACAAATGTACTAAAAGATTATAATTGTTTAGAGCAGATTGGAATATTGTTTGTATACATATATATATATATATTATATATATATATATGTAGTTGTAGGATAGAAGCTGCCCTAGCAAGAATTTAAACCTTGTCTACTAATTAGATTTTTACTGCAGGGATTTTCCTTTTATCAGTCTGCTTGGGTTGCTGCTGTAATGTTCTGTAAATGTTGCCAGGTCAAGCAACTATAAGCATTTATCCATTTTTGAATTATAGTAAAGGAATATAGTAATTAATCCATTCTTCTTTGTTCTTTCTATTTTCTGCCTATCTTGTGATGTAAAAATATTGACCTGGACAGCATTTGCTCAGTGTATTTTCTCTAAGAAGCTCAAAGTGCTTATGCACTTATTAAACAAATTATGATTGCTGCTTCCCTGGGAAATGCAAAAGTAATTCTGCAATTGATTTTACAGACATGTTACAAATTAATGAACAGATGTTGGGAGGGGCTGGGTCCTTGACCAGTAATTTATGCCAACATTATGTTAGAGATCAGGAATGGAAACCGGGTGCTCAAACTTCTCCTACATTACACCATTTAATGTGAGAGTTGGTGGTGGTGTTGGATCAGCTTTGCTCTGGAGTGGCACAGGAAGAATCAGGTCCCCTGTAAGGGAAACACTGTCCCTTCTGAAATGGCTGGCTGCACTTCTGTGAAGACTGAAAGAGTTAAGATGCCTGTACAGAAATCCCGACAGCCAGTTTTCTGACTTCATTCAGCCCAGCAGCAGTATACTAGAACAATGCTTGAAGGTGAACCTAGCACACCCCAGCCAAACAGTCATTTGTGTTTTCATATTGTTAAATCAGCAGAATATGAGCACAAGCTTAAATGGTTTACTTGCTAGGAATACAATTATTGGGATGATTTTAATTTTTTAAAATTAGGTGCTTTGCTGGTATTAGGGGCCCAAACCACTAACTGTTGGAATTCTCAGAAATTGAAAGTTTACCTGAAAAGTGAGTGACTTTGGAAGATATTCTGTCAGATTGCATTTTCCTAGACATACTTGCAATAACAAAAAAATTCTCAGAAATTGCCATCTTTGTCTGTTTATTTTAAATGTATTTTTGATCACTTTGTTTTCCCCTGTCTTATGCTGTTTAAATCTTTGGAAAGTAGAATTGATTTATTTCTGGGTCATCTTCAGCTTTTCAAAATGGAAGAAAATCATAACACCATTCCTAACAATTCACTATTCCTTACCAAATGAGAAATCGGACTAAACGTCAAACTCTGGTATATCCATACAATGTCCTAAATTTCAACAGTCAACTTCTTTGAACATCTCTCATTCTCATGCCTCCTGCCCTTTGGCCATGACAGCCATCAATGAAAGTACAGGCTGTGGTACAAGAACACCAAGCGTGTGTGGAAAGCAGATCAGGGCTGGACATGGCTTTCGTTGTCAAAGCTGTGACCAAGCGCTGGAGGTCTGTGGAGCCCGTGCAGCACTGTGCTGTCAATAGAAAATGAGCTGCAGTATTTCACAGGTCATGGAGGCAGCTACTGCAGACTGGAAGAAATCGAAGAAAATGTGTATGCCAGCAATTTTTAGGATAGATGAATAGATAGAGTCGTCAGTAGGCTCTGCAGGTGGGAAAATCAGAGCTGCAATATTCAGTCCAGCTCCCATGAAAGTCTGAAATGAGATCACTGTGGATTTTAGAGGAAATGACTCAAACCTGGACAAAGAATAATTACAAAATATTACAAAACTGTTTATCATGGCTTCTCAGCACTTAGCTGGTAGTTTTTTCCTAGACTGAAGATTGTCACCTTAATGTGTTTCCAAATCATGGCAAACATAATTAATCCACTGTTTTGACTGAAGGCTGATTCCGTCAGCTAACAGAATCATTTCTGCTTTCAGGACATTTCCTCTCATGCTCCCGTGTGTTTGTTTTTGTCAAGGTCAGACAGTTTACAGCACAGATTTGATTTTTTTTTTTTTTTACCTATACAGTCTATGACTTGAATCTCTGATACACCTTCCCGGCCCCATTAAAGAACCTTAACCTGAGTATAAGCCGATCCCTTGGTATAGCCAACTTGCCAAAAACCTCCATTTGTCCAGCAGCTGCTGTAGGGGCTCTGCACTCCATGTCTAGAACTCTAATACAATTCACAAAGCCTGACCTTTGCTACCAATATTTTGTTCAGTGTATTTCTTTGCATGCATGAGTGAAGATATGAGTGTGAATCTGGGAATTCAAGCATGTTTCTGGATCCATAACCAGAGAACAAGAAACAGGGACTTTGACTATACTAGTAAATTTAACAATATTAGAGAATGTTTCTGAGCACTGTAACTTGATTGACTAAGCTTGTAAATTCTAAGAACAATTTCTGGGTTTCCTGGTTTTTGATTGGGATAAAGTTAATTTTCTTCCTAGTAGCTTGCTGCGTTTAGAATTGATAATAATGTTGGATGAGAATAATGTTAATAGCACACCACTGTTTTGGCTGTTGCAGAGCAGTGCTTACACACTTTTAGTTTTTCATGCTGCCCTACCAGTGAGGAGGTGGGAGTGCAGAAGGAGCTGGGGGCTTACTGAACCAGGACAACTGACTGGGTGCCAAAAGGATGCCCCACACCATGTGGCGTTGTGCTGAACAATAAATCTGGGGGAGCTGCCTGGAAGAGGAGTAGGCAGGGGCCCACTGCTCAGAGACTGGCTGGGCATTGGTCAGCAGGTGGTAAAGAAGTGCATTGTGCACCATTTTTTTTGTGTATTCTTTTTGTTGTTACTGTTATTTGGCTTTTTTAAAAAAAAAAATCTTTCTTTTTTTTCTTGTAGAACTGTCTTTATCTCAATCAGTGAGCACCAACTAGCACAGTCTCAGTGGATGCTGTTTGGGACTTGTGAGATACCATTCCTAAAAGGCAGATGTGGACACTGTATTTAGGGGTAAGAAAGTTCAGTAACATAACTGTTTGCCTATACTAGAGGAGATCCTGCATATATAGTTTACTAATTTGTAGCCTGAGTGCCTGAGAGTGCATCCTCAAAGCTTTGTGGGTCACAGCAGATTTTTAAAATACGACATAAGAACCAGGTATGGACTAGGATTTCATTTCACATTCCTCCATCAATTTCAGAGTTTCAGGCTTGTTTGGGCTATTATTTTGAGAAGAAACTAAGATGTGTGTTAATATATGTTCTACCAAATGTGTTTCATAACATCTGTTTGGCATTCAGAAAGGAAAATGTTCTGTAATCTTGACCAGCAGTATGTGCTAGACAGACCAGACTCTGAAAAACACAAGGTTAAAAAGCTGCTTCAGCTCTACTCAGAGGCAGAAATTAATATCTGAGAGTCAGTCCTTTTAACTTGTTTAATGATATTTCCATTTTAAAAGTAAATCTGATGAGAAACTGGTGAATTACTGTGAAGTGTCTTACAAACCTTTTACAGAAGCAGTCAGTGTTATTCAGAAGTAAATGGGTACAGTAGGGGGGCTTTCCTCTCTTTTCTTTCTTCCTATTACCTTTTCCCTCTTGCTCTATGCTAACAGCTCCACACCTCTCTTGAACCACTCATGGCAACTCTACTAAGATAAATTCAAAAAGTAAGTTTGCAATTACAAAATAATAATAAGATAACTTGAACTGTTCTGAAGATTTTCTTGTTACATGGACAGATGCCTACTAACTCCATTAATTCTGGAGGGAAAAATTAGTGCTATGAAAGCAAAATTAAAGTTCACTTGTGTCTGTGTGGTTTGTCTGATCCTTTTGACTTTGATGTTTTCTGTACTAATTTATGGAATTATTCCCTTAAACCAGGGTAACTCAAGGTCATCTGGATAGTGCAGTATCCTTTGGAGGGAAAATGCAATTCGTTATCCACACAGCAGGGCTCTGCTGAGTAATCCAGCCCTTCTCTATTTTCCCCGTTTTTCACAGAATCATAGAATCCTTTGAGTTGGAAGGGATCTTTAAAGGTCATCTAGTCCAACTCCCCTGCAATGAACAGGAACATCCACAGCTAGGTCAGGTTGCCCAGGACCTGATTCAGGCTCGCTTTGAAAGTCTCCAGGGCATCCAGCACATCTGTACCAGTGCCTCAACAGCCTCACTGTAATAGACTTTTTCTTTATATCCAACCTAAATCTACCCTCTTTAAGCTTGAAACCATTTCTCCTCATTCTGTCACCGCAGATCCTGCTAAAACGTCTGTCCCTTTTCTGTAGCTCCCTTTTAGATACTGAAAGGCTGCTATCAGGTCACATTGGAGCCTCCTCCAGGCTGAGCAGCCTCAGCTCTCTCAACCTATCTTTCTAGGAGAGGTGTTCCATCCCTTGGATCATTTTTGTGACCCTCCTCTGGATGTGCTCCAACAGGTCTGTGTCTCTTTTTGAAATCTCACAAAATTTATCTCCCCTGAGAGATCATAATCTAGTTTTTAATGCATAGGTATATTTTATAGTTGGTTTCCTTGTCTTGAAAGGGAGAATTAGTTCACAAACATGGTAGCATTTGTGAGTCACACATGGCAATTTATGGTTTATACATGAGAGGATTCAAGAATCAAGGAAGAGGTACTTTTTCCCCCTTTGGGAGGCTTTGTCTGCCAAAGAAGTCTTGAAAAACAAGGACCAGGCATTTTTGTGAACAATTATCAGCAGCCTACATTAGGGCCCTCTAACCACTTCTATTTCCTAGCAAAACAAACAAACAAACAAAAAAGGACTAAGGAAACATAAAGTAGCCTGAGAACTGCCAGGTGCTGAGACAAAGCTGCTACTGATGTCTGGGTTGATCTGAGGACTCT